TTTCTTGTCCACCAAATGAGCACTTCTTGTCGTTAATTGTGTCCATTCATTGAGTGATGGCTTTCGGTTGTATTGACGCCAATGATTGCCAACAATTACGGGAATACAATATATAAGTGAAGTCCGCAAACGCTTCCCAAACAAACCCCACAAACAATTCATTGGATTAGAAATTTGTTTACTTTTATAATTAAAGCGTTGGAAAGTTGTCTCAATTATTATCAAAGAAACAGAGATTTTGATTTAAAATAACATTTCAAAAACAACAACTTTTCTCGTGATTGGTATTTATATTTATCATAAATAATTGAATTTTAGTTAACTTTTACATTTATTAACGAGATATTTCAAAATGATGTTATTTATAAGAAATCTAATAATTTTACACAATTACGTATTTAAATTAAAGTACTGCAATAATCTTATTAAAATATTACCATGTAAAATAACTCAATAAGTAACTAGCATTTTAACTATTTAAACATTAAATTCTGTATAAATTCATGTTTTTATGTGTAGTATATGTCGGTTGAGTTACAAAAGGGATGATTTGTTTTTATACCACGTTTTAATAGGGTTGCCAACTGGTCAAGGTTTGCCTTGATTTGCAAGGTGAGAGGGTACTGGTCAAGGTGAACGGCGAGGGTCTCACCTTGACATAGACAGATCAAGGTGAGAGCAAGTGTAATTACCTTATGTCTATTTTAGGTATTTATTGTAATGAACACACTATTTAAAACCCAGAATAATATTTATTGCCTATTTGTATAATAGCAAAACAAACCCTTTATTAAAAACCTTTCATAAGAAAGACTTTTGTCTTCAAAAAGCCCGTATCTTATATGGAAAATACACTGTATTATAATAAACTAAATTTACATTTTTCTCATATTTCAAAAATATTTGCAATCAAATATGCAATAATAATAGTGGTCAAGGTTTGGTCAAAGTGAATTTAGAAATATTTTGGATTTTTCAAGGCGGAGATCGATAAGAGTTGGCAACACTACTAATAATAGGTATCCCTGAGTTGGGGGCGAATCTAATCCTAAACTCGCTTTATTTGATACGTCTTCTGAACTGAAGTAATGATTATAACTCTTATTTCACATTTGTGTCAACTCTTCCACAAATGGGACAATAAATTCACTTCAATTAAAAATATATAAAATGATTTAATTAAATGCAAGTATTAATTAGTTATACAATTACAAGTCTTACAACATTACAAGTGTTGGACCTCTCATTTGAGTCCCTAATTACTGACTCAAGTAATACCTGTCAAAGGCTTGAATAATATCACTTCTATGCAAAGTTACAATACAATCAAACATCTATGTTATCAACAAAACGAGTCCGGGGCATTTGGTTGATAATATAGATTAGTTGACAACAGAGAAATTGCATTGAAATCCATTACAAATTCACTCATAGATGAAAAATTCAAATTATCATTAATTGAGTCGATATACAATAATTGCGCGCCTAAGCGCACCATTTGCTTTCCTGCAATACACCGCTGAGTGGGGACTGCATTGACATACACTATAACCATATAATCGCATACACTGTAAACATAATTATTACAGTAATTAATTAATTATAAACATAATTTCATACATAAAACATTCGTTACAATTGTTTACTAAAAACACAAAACAAACTTTTTGTTACAGTTTTTACTGTTTTTTGCAAACTATTTTTAACAGCATTTGAGTGCTGAGGTTGTATTGGCTGTCAATGCAGTCCCCACACAGCGGTGTATTGCAGTGAGAAAAACTGTAGTGCTTTACGGCGCCATTACTGTATACAGTAACTGAGAGAAATACATCTGTGATTATAATGAGTTTGCGTATGGGTTGACAGGACACAAGTTGTTATACATAGAAATGCTACACATTTTGGTCAAAATGTGTTGATATTATAGATTAGTTGACAACATAGAAGTTAGATATTGTTTTAATCTTATGTCTATGTGGTGTGTATTTGGGTTTTGGGGTTTTGTTGATAACATAGAGAACGAAATCAAAACATTTGTCAGACGCTATAAATGTGTTAAAAACTCATTTAAATTGTTGATAACATTTGTTAATTCAGTCAAACAGATGATTGAAATATACGGTTAAATACAAGAACATCAAACGCTTGCCGCGCGAACACATGTGCGCTCTTCAGTGCCATTCATTCATACCATTCCTCGGGAACCACTCATCACTCACTAACTCATTCACTCATAGCTCGCATTCATTGTACAGTCGTATCGTATCTCTCATACAATCGCTCTCAATGTCTTGCAATGAGTAATGACTACAACTCTGACCGCATTCCCGATCGTAACAAATGAGTACATTATATGAGACATACCTTCGGATGAGTTGACAAACGCTTTGAGACAAACGATGCAAAACTCAAATAAAATACAAAACAATAACAACTGCTTTGAAGCGACAACTTATTCAAAATGACTGCAGTCTTGTGTCGATCGCCTCTCTTATACTTTTCTGTGAGTCGACGCAGAGTTGACTCAATTCAACGAACACTCAATGCGTGTGAAAAGTAAACACTGTTTATAACTCAACTCTCAGTCGTTATACTGTGCGACACATGTGTTGTATTGATTGCAGTCACGCTTTAATGCCATTCAAGTGTTTACTTAACAAACGATTGGTTATATCGTCGCGCATGCGCTCATAGGATTAGCATTGCCATAGACTTAGCATTACCCATGTTAAAGTATAGCTATAGACTTAAGCTGTAATCCCATTGAGTGGGGCGCGGGAGGGGCCGACCGATCCAATAAACCACATTATTCATGGCTGAATTGTGGTTTAAAATATCTTAATTCAAAGGTAATTATCATCATGTTTAATCATGTACAATTTTTATGACGTTGGAAATCGATATTTTAGTTCATTTACATGTATTTAAATTATACTTACTTCGATTTAAAAATATAGTCATTTTTAAATTACAATTTTTGAACATTTTGGGCAATCAATTATATGCATTAACAATGGGCAAGCCGCTTTTCTAATTAGATATAACATTATAAAAATCGCTATGCTTATTTAATAAATGTGCCCAAGCAACTCTAGACATTATTGTCCTTACAAGTTAGATGTCTATTTCTCAACCAATAAAGTAAAAAAATATATTATTACATAAAATTAATCTCAGATAAATACTTATTCATCCCACAAAATTTCTTTTAAATCCAATGATTATTTCTTATATTAAAGTAACCATGAACAAGAGATAAAGTGCAATGTTAATGGATACTGGGACAAAAATTTTATATAAAAATTTTCTAATTTTTGATTTTTTAATTTGCAAAATTAATTATCATTGTAAGCATAATTGAAATTGATATAAATGATGTTCAGTAATTACGTTATTCACTATAAAAACGTACATAACTGATACTAGATTTCTTAATTTTGATATAACTTTTATCGATTATGTCAGATTTGATATACAGGAATTGCACGCATTTTTAAGGACATATACAACCCTTTTATGGTGTATTCCTATGAGACGGTCACTGCATTTGTATTTGACGGCTGAAATTTTGTTTGAATTATTAATTTTGAAACACTATTAGACAATACAAAACCAGTTATTCAAAGATCATGCCTTAAAATTACATCAAATCATAATTAAAATGTTTGTCAATTGTTTTTAAAAAGTTGTTACATTTATTTTCATTTCGTATACAAAGAGGTAAATCATTAAATAGTTTAACAAATAAGTCAACAAAAGCAAAGCCGGCAAAAATAATCATTTCCTCAGCTGTTAATAAACAGTGATTTAATTTTTGATTTATAATTTAGGAAAAATGTTTAATAAAAGTTTATTGAAAGCCATTACAACTTTTAATTATTACAATATTATTTGTATTTCAATAGTTTATAAAAGTTTTACTCAAAACTTCTAAACGTCCATAAATGACAACAACATCTGAAAACTTTTTATGTGAAAAGTTTTGAACAAACATTGTTTTACTATTACATCATAGCGTATCTAATAATGCATACATTTTATTGTAAAATAGAAATTAATATTTCATATAAATTATAACAATTTAATCAATAAAATAATTATATAATAAGAAAGTGTTTTAAAACAAAGACTGTTTCGACTCAACGGACTCAGGATTTAATGGTTTAGTCGTATCGGTCACTGGTTTTGGTAGTGTCTGGACATCGGATCCCCCTTTTGATGGTGTTTTCAGTTTGGGATTGACTTTCTTCGGATCGCTTCCAATATCCTTATCATTCTTATCAGTCGATGGGTTTGTCTTCGACTGATTGTTGCGGTGTTTGACAAAAGCGACGACAACTGCGATCACAATAACGATCACAAGTGATAGCAATAGTAAGACAAGCATTACATTCATCGCACGCCTACCAGCAGTGGATACAGATGTCGATGGTTTCGGACATTTGAAGAACTCATCAAAACTATACGATTGCTATAAAACAAAACAAAATATAAATAAATTATATATTAAATTATATATTAATCACACAAACAAAACGCACGAGTTTTAAGATATCGACGGCAATAAATATATTGATGCGATAAATGACTATTTGGGAAGTGTTGACCGGAATTGACACCAAATGGAAATATTCATTGAATGAAAACAATCCAAATATTTTGCTAAAACTATTTCTTCCATAAGGAGTCAAAAGACCGCTATATAAGTCATTATATGGTTTAGTATTTGCGGGAAAGTCTAAAGCAGTCAATTGTTTGGATATATTAAACAGATTTGTATAGTTTTTGTTGTCAAAAATAATTGTCACCGGATTTAAGAAGCCATCCGTGTATTGATCGACACTTTTGGTGGTCTGTAAGTATGCGATCGCGAGTATAGTATCGGATGTTATGTTGTTTTGCAGATACTGTTTGTCGAAAGAGTCGATTGTGTGGACACTAAATGGTAAGTCATTTGATCCCTTATTGTTGGGAATCATGCGATTGAGTGGACCTGTCTTTGAGTCGAAGACTCCGTAAATGCTTTGGGAATTGAATTGTTTAGATGTCTTCCAATTGCTTCGACCAATGATTATAGTTCTGTAGGTTTTGTTGTTTAGGAGATATGAATAACCAATTATCCGATGATTGATGTCTTAAAAAACAAATAATAATTAAAATCTCTCTCTCTCTCTCTCTCTCTCTCTCTCAACACAATTACCGAAATAATCGTTTAGCAAATCCGTGACATATCTATCAAAATACAGAGAATTCCTTTCATTCTTAGGCCTGAATCGGAAGAGTTTGCGTCCGCTTTGAATGTAAACATGTTTTCCGATATTGAAAACACTCTTCAGTTGTTTAGCAGTTGTTTCGCAAACATCTAAATGTCTTTCTTCTGTATATTTATAGCTTTGATTGAAATCGCATTTCACTATCGATGCGATTGAATGACTGCTATTCTGTGGGAAATACAGACACAATATATACAAAATAGAGAGAGAGAGAGAGAGAGAGAGAGAGAGAGAGAAATTTACCTCTAATTGATAAACACTACTTCCCGTATACTTTAATTCAAGTAACGGTTCGTAAAGATTTCTGGCGGAATCGAAAGCAAACGTGCGTTGAATGGATGGGATATAAAAGTAACCGGCGTTTGAATGCCAGCCTTCAAACCATACCAAAGGATATAAATAATAATTTGGTTTCTCAAACGGCATATACTTATTGACCACAACAGCTATTACTGACAAATCTATAGCAGAATTTCGGGCAAACATTTCGACAGTAAAATGGGATCCATTGACTGATTGCAAGCGCATTGAATAAACTAAATTCACTTTTGCGAATGCATTGCGAATATTATCGCAAATTAGTTGTGTTTCACTGAATACCAAATGACTGGTCTTTGAATCCGAGTGTCCGACGACTGGAAACGCCTTCAGACCCGACGGCGTGTACTGAAAGGCAAACGCTTTTCGTTCAAAACTGTCCTTTAATTTGCCGATTGTTTTATTTGTATTGTCGATGACTTCGCCGTAAATACAGGCCCTATAATAGTCTGGATTTAAGTGGAGTTGACAACGAATTGTGTCCGCATTTGTGAGACATTCGTTGACATTAGAAGAGGAGGAAGAATAGAGTTTGAATGTAAATCCCATCACAGGTTTAGTCGTGTCTAAGGATAACAAACAAAAACAATTAAAATTTTTAAGTTAAATAATAAGTTAATTAATAAAATACAAACCGATATGAAATTTGTTGAGAATTGTTGTAAAATCTGAGTCAAAGAAAATGGGCTCTGATTTGATGCCAGGATTGGCACCACTTTTGAAGCTAACGTCAGACCACTTCCAAAATTTGGCGTTATTTTGAAAGTAGAGATCATTTCCTAATCCGAAGACACTCTCAAGTCTTTGATCGGTTCCGCAGAAGTCGTTTGGTTTGAATGAAGAATAGGATTCGTAGTGATATTGTTCACAACCAAAGAGACTTCTTAAGGTCTGATTTGTACCAAACATTTGGGACTAATATTTAACACAAAATTTAAAAAATAACAATTTTTAAATACTTTAATATAAATATATTTACTGTTAAAGTTGTGGTCAAATTGTTGCTCAAATCGATTAGACTTAAAGGTGTATTTGGACCGCAATTCTGACCACAACTCCACGTTTGGTTCAGATAACGAAACACATAATAGACATCATCTTTGGGTAAATAGTATTTAATGGCATAAATATAACTCATGGATAGATTGCTATCCCATAGTTTGCAGAACTGATAGCCCAATAGGTTAACAGTGTTTGGAAATGCCAGCGACTCAGCCGTAAAGATCTGAAACGTGATCTTATCCTCATAAAAGGGTACCAATACTCTGGTGCTGTTGTCGTCAATAGTTTGCAGAACTGATAGCCCAATAGGTTAACAGTGTTTGGAAATGCCAGCGACTCAGCCGTAAAGATCTGAAACGTGATCTTATCCTCATAAAAGGGTACCAATACTCTGGTGCTGTTGTCGTCAACGGTTCCGTTAATTGGATTAACTGGAAGACCACTACTCGTAGTGTTAATGGCATTCATATCAACCAATAGAATCTCCGGATGCGGTAAACGAAAGGATACGCCGGAGAAAAAGCCCTCTTTGGCTAAGTTTGTGTCGTTATGTTTCCACTTAAAGCCGCAATACGTCTTCACCCGACTCTCTAAGACCGGAGTATCGATAGTCATTAGAAGGGAGTTATTGTATTTGCGGGCCAACCAAGTCAGTGATCCTAACATACAATACACATATTAAATGAATCACTTTAAAGTGATTAATAATTATAATTGAATTATTGTTAATCTCCATAAAAATACACTATAGAAGTGCTCTATTCATGAAACTTAATGGCAATTAATAAAGAGATGATTATTACCACCGGTTTTATTGGTTCCGTAGAGACACGTATAGAAGATCTGTGGGTCGTCATAGACTTCAGTGCATTCGTTCAATACATCCAAATTTCCGCAATCATTGGACATAAACTGATACGTGAAACCAAACACTGGTTTTGATAAATCTGTACAAAATAAAGACAATTAAAAAGTGTTTGTAATTTTAAATAATAAATGATATGCCGAACCAAACAATGACTGCAAGTCTGTCCATAAGTCTGTGTCGATCACAAACCGTGGGCTCCGAGAAAAGTATTTCTCCAAATCTTCGTCGCTATCGATAGAGTCCTTGAGTTTCAAGAATTCAGTTTTGGTCTGAATTATCAAATCATTGCCTAAATTGAAAATCGATTGAAACTTCGTGTCCTGAATGTCGCAAAACATGTAGTTTTCATTTCTAACGTTTGATCCGTTAATCCCATAAATTGTAATTAAAATCACTGATAAATAGCAAACTTGTTTCCAGTAGTTAAGAGTAGCCATCGTTTATGTGTTAAAGAAATGTATAGAAATAATTGACAATTAATTTAAATTTCAAGACTTAACGAAAATAGATGTGAATTGTGTTGCGTTGAGAGCGAGATATTTAGTAATGCAATAATAAATTACTGTTTAAAAGGATTTCTCAATTCATTTATTTTAAAAAACAATTAATTTAAATTTCAAGACTTAACGAAAATAGATGTGAATTGTGTTGCGTTGAGAGCGAGATATTTAGTAATGCAATAATAAATTACTGTTTAAAAGGATTTCTCAATTCATTTATTTTAAAATTTCAATTAAAATTTACTATAAATTATGGCAACAATTTAGACAATGAAAAAATGAATAAAAAAGGTTTCAAAACAAAGATCTTTTGGACTCAATGGAGTCTGATTTCGCGGGTTTTGGGACTTCGGCCTCAAGTTTTGATGGCGTTTGGATATTAGGCTCAGTTGTCGTCGGGCTCTGGACTTCTGGATTAGCTTTTGCTGAAGTTGTCGATGGCTTTTGAGCATTCTTTGGATCACTCGCTATATTCTTATCGGTCTTATCAGTCACTGGTTTTGTCTTCGACTCATTGTTGCGGTGTTTGACAAAAGCGACAATCAGTGCGATTACAATAACGATCACCAATGATATCAATAGTAAGACAAGCAATACATTCATCGCACGCCTACCGGTTGTGGACACAGATGATGGTGGTATCGGACAATTGAAGAACACATTGAATTCAAAGCCATCCTTGAAATAAAAATTAATAAAAATTTTAATAATGTTTTGCATAATAAGGACCGGAATATGAGTTAAACATCACATACAAGTGTCAAGTGCTCGATATGATTAAAAACGCTGATCTGATAAACCACTGGATATGAAATGTCTTTTGGAAATACTAATAAATAGAATATTTTATTGTAGGAAAACATTCATTATAGAGAGAGAGAGAGAGAGAGAGAGATGATAATAATAATGATATTGCATTGCAAGCACACTATGTTTTTTGTTAACTTAATACACAAATTATTCAATTGATATGCTCTGCGCTGTAATGCAAAGCAAATGCTAAAACTCTGTACACATAGTCATCAGTAATACAATGATAAATGATATGCAGTTAAATGTTATACAATATTTGACACATTCGTTGTATTTGTTTTAATATCAGTAATTTATATAAGACTTATTGGAAATCATAAAAATTAAGGATAACAGCCATAGTTTATATTATATCTATGACACGGACTGAATACAGCGTTTGGGAGTTGAGTTACTCTCTATATAAAGTGCAGCGATATTTAGACACAACGTTATTAGACGTAAATTATTGGTTAAATTGTAGCCCAAATCCGCAATCGTTAGATGAATTGATAAAAAGCATCAGCAAATTGGTGGCGCTCTCTTGTTTCCTCACACTGTATGTTACAATACATACCAATAATTACAGGTATTGTAAAATATATTACACAATATGTGTGTTCTGTTTGGCCAACACATTGATAATCATTACAATCATGTCATCATTTGTGTCGACCGTTTACTAAACAATTGGAGACCTAAAAAGTCTAATACTGTATAAACGATACGCCAATTAAAACGAACAAATAATATGAGATTTAACTATAAATCTCTTTTAAAATATTTAATGCCATAAGAGTTATATAAAGTGTATATACAGTGGTATTAAGCGAAACACAAACCGAAACGAGAGTTAGAGAGAAAATATATGTCTATTAAAACAAATAAAGTACTGACCGATCGTTTAAAGTGGAAGAAAACACTTGAACCCATACAACCCCTTAGTATTTCTCTCTCAGATGAGATTAGTTACGATATAAAAAATTTATCGCATTTTTACTTTTACTGATATTAGCGGCCATTTCTTACAAAACCAAATACTTATATTCAATGTATTGAGTTTTGATTCCCTAATATTTTCTCTTATTTATGTGCATTCGTTTTGGGCTTTGGCTCCCGTTTTGCGGTTTCCGCTCAACTGAAACTGTTTTGTGGCCTTTATTTGCTCGCAATCTGACAAATATATCATTGAATTTCATAAAAATACTATTAATATATTCGTTGAGTAAACTATATATTAGTTTCCAAAAGAATTCGTTTCATAGCATTATAGCATTGACTTTTCGTAACGAGAATTCAAAAACCCGTTAAAATAGAGAGAGAGAGAGAGAGAGAGAGAGAACGACGCTCATCTTTTAAGTGAAGGGCTGAGACGTCAGACATTAGTTGGGAAGAGAACAGGACTGAGGAGGAGTAGTGAATGGCGAGAGAGAGAGAGAGAGAGAGAGAGAGAGACTAGAATTTTTTTTAGTGTTTCTCTTAGCACAACAGCCCTATTGAATACCCCGTAAGAACACTTCACTGCCAATCATAACAACAAACCGTATATTTTGTTACAGATTTCTCGCAATGACTTTGATTTTACATTTTGGTGAAGCGTTTGCTTGAGTTGGATGTGAAATAGTATTGTATTGTATTGAATGGTATGGCATGTGAGAGATCATCGACACCACAGCACCGGCACTACAATTCATTGCATTTGTCTTGAAGTTTACGGTATTTGTTATGCGCCCCTATTTCTAGTGCCCAACTCCTCAGTGAATTGAGTCTTAGTTTGAGGCTTTGTTTTGCTTTTATTGCCTTAATATTATTGCATTGAGTTTTGTATTATACAAGCGCTCAGTGTTTCAGTAATAGTGTTTAGCTGTTGTGCATCTTTGATCGATACGTATTTGATTTTACAAGACTTTTATTGTTTTGATTAAATCTGATTCATCTGATTGATAGAAACGGGTGTCAAACGTACACTGAATCCAAAGCGCCTGTACGTCGAGTCCCGTTAAAGCTATTTGTGCTGCAAATCAAACTATGAAATAACGGAATTGAGAGAGAGAGAGAGAGAGAGAGAGAGAGAGAGATGCATTGAGACATGCATTTCTGACGACAAACTCTTATATAAAAAGCAAATTCAAAGATGCAGTGAATCAAAGAGAAAACAAGAGAGGGAAATGAAATTCATGCCTAAAATAAAAGAAACGACTGGTTTTGTGAGAGAGAAAGAGGGACTACTAAGCAATGGATAGGGATGTGAGGCAGTGATGGTGTGGATTGGATAGTGAGGCCAAATGGTTGAGCGCAACGAAAAAAGCATACAAATAATCATAAGAAAAGCGGTAAAGAAGAGTAAAAAGCAATTCATTTCGAAGATGAAGAGATAGATTCAATTACGAGAAACAGCATATCCTTAACAGCCATTTGAATGGCTTGAATGGGGAAAGGCTTCAATTTAAGTGAAGGGGTGTTCAAATCGCTATCACTCGCAGTGCTCTTAGCATTTAGCGAATGGCTGTGCGATCACTACAATAGCGCTTATGGTTTGTTGTGTTTTATGTTTTTGTGATGAAACTGTAGTTAGAGTTAAAGGGAATTCACTGTTCCTTTTGCTCTCACAGTTCCTATTGTTAGCTTATATCGTATATACTGTACAGTAATGTACTGTCAATAGTGTGTGCGGATAGAAAAGTAGTGTCTGAGAGCAGACATCACTTAGAGATGTATTTCTCTATAATTTGTATGTTTAAGAGGCGTCTCATTCGGCGAGAAAATAGATTGAAATTTAAATGAATGGAGAGATGGGTTTGATTTTCCTATCCATGAGTTATATCACAACTTTCTTTGGATGGTATGGGGACTGGAAAATAGGTCACAACCATATCATGCAATAATGAATATCCTTTACTCTATAGAGGAGAGAGAGGGAGAGAGAGAGAGAGCCGGCATTGTATCCTTAATGCCATTTATAGTATTATTTGATAGTTAGGCTCAAATCTAAAGCAATATAACATTAAAGTATTGCTTTAGTAAACGCATTGTATGTATCGGCAGAGCATTATAATGAAGCAAATATCTAACATATAACACGTACGCAATGGCATACAATAGCAGGCAATGGCAGGCAATGGCAGACTAATAAAAATAGTATCACCAGTCAGTCATACCAGTGCCACACCATCTTCACCAACACCACCACCACCGCCGCCACCGGAGTCAACACCGGTACAAAACACGCATGATCAATATACAATAAAAATATTGTATTTATAATAGATTAACGACAGCTAAAAATAAAATGACCCCTTTATGCCTTGATTGTAAGCTTCCTTATAATCTAATATGTGCTCTAAACTACACTATAGTATACACTACCAGTCCATTCACACACACATTGTATATGTTTTATATATATTATATATAATATGGCCATAATTTATATCTTTTTATTCTTTTGTTTCATTTCGATTAACTCAACACTTCAACCAAAATAAGAGCACAGAATATGAGAAACACTGTTAGAAAGTGTGAGAGAGAGAGAGAGAGAGAGAGAGAGACTGCATAACTGTATGAAAACAGAATGGTATACAACATACAGAATAACAGCAATCTCTCGTCACTAACACTACAATTCCGTACATTTGTGTACAGAATTTACTACTAGAGTAGAGCACAACTACTATACAGAGAGCACTACTACTCCAATAGTGCACTGACTGTTGAGAGAGCGCTGCGAGAGAGAGAGAGAGAGAGAGAGAGAGAGAGAGAGAGCTGGCAATGACTGAATGGTGTGTTGTGTTTGGACTACAGTTTATGAGTTGATATGAAAACGAATAAAAGAATCGTTGCATTCATTCTAAATAAGAATCACAATTGTATTAACAGTTATATACAATTGCGAACCAATACTACAGTACTATAACTGAGTTCATACTTCACTCACATACTTCTCCCCCACAGAATATACACTATTATTATTACCGTAATATTATTATATCAGCACATATGGACTTAAATCAACTATAATTGTACAGGATGTTTTTATTTGAATTTAACTCTCACTATATATTAGCGTACATTATATTATTTTGATTGCTTTTCATCGCTTTTCGCATTTAATTTACTCTTTAGTCTCTAATTTTTTGATATAAATACAGTGACACAAAAAAATTGCTGCCCCAAAGCCTAAAGCATTCGTGTTTTTGTTCATTGCATTCATTACTTTCTTTGTGTTTGTTTACTATTTTTGTGCAATGAATTAGTTGTACACTATTTGTATGTTATCTTTCTTTTTCTGTTTATATTGTAAATCAATGTTTATTTATCGGAACTCTATTCTAATTACACATCACATCACTGGCTGTCCATCACATCATATGCACGCAAAAAGTGAGGCCATAGTAGAGCATAGCATATATGAGCGATAGTAGTCTTAACTAAAGCCAGTATAACATCATTACGGCATAACTCATACATCTTTTTTGCTTCTTCTCATTGCTTTCGTTAGTTTTAAATCTGAGTTATGGTTGTGTTATATGTTTTGCCATTTTATTTTACGTGTAGTCTCTAATAGACAGTATGGAATAGTATTCCTGTACTCTCAGAGAGAGAGAGAGAGAGAGAGAGAGAGAGCGGTAAGTGATGAGGAGGAGTCAGGACAAGAGAAGGGTTGATTACAGACTGCAGAGTCGGGAAGTGAATTTTCTACTCGCAGCCTACGTAACTATTCATTGATAGTACGATAGCATTGATAGCGGAGAACAAAAACAAAATTAAACAACAAAAGACATGAGAAATGAAAACGAACTGAGAATCAAGTC